AAGGAGTTATCAGAGAACTGAAAAAAAAAACACATTATGAAGAATGCAAACAATTCTTTTGGGAATCCACCACTTTAGGAGCTATGATCTGTGTATTGTGTAAAGAAAACATGTACAGAAATAGCGTTGAGCTGTCACAGGAGAGGCAAGCCTGACAGAATTCTTCCAACAGCATATGAACAACTTATCTAGGAGGTCAAAAAGGAACCCAGAACTTCCAATGCACAGGAGGCCACACTTGGTTAAGGTCAAAGCTCAGGCTTTGTTAATAAGAGAGACTGGGCAAAAATAGCATCAATGGCACAGTTCAGAGATAAAAAACCTCTGCTGAAGAAAAAAAACAACACAAAATTGCAAAACAAAAATATTTCAAGAAAATACACAGGGGATTGATGCACTAAACAAAATCGCAATCTAGATAAAGACTTTTTTCTTTCTTTTTTTAAGCAGATAAGTGAGACACTTTGTCAATGGAACAAGACAATTTACATTTAAAATAAGAAAAAAAAAACTATTTCATTATCTTATTTGAAGTGCATATTATCTATTTATCTTATTTTAAAGGTATAGAGAATGATCGTTTTATTTCCGGGTGGATCATCTAAATAAGTGGTCCTCTTTATTGTAGATTTGCACTTTCAGCACATATGTGTGTGTTTTGCGTGGAGAGCTCTCCACGCAAAGCATTATGGGATTTGTTGTCACAGGGGCTTGACAAATTATATTAGTTACCTACTCAAATTAAGGGTAACTACACTCAATTTTAGAAATGTTAAGAAATTAGTTATTTCTAGATAGTTTTTGCAGTGTGAGATGAAAGTTGGGCTTTAGGATATGTCTGTTTTATCAATTCAGAAAATTAACATCCATTCTATGATCTACAGAAATAGAGGCTGGTCTCTCTTCCTCAGGGACTAAAAAAACTTGATCGAACCGTTTTTTTTGCAGAACCTAACCCCTTTTGGTCATGCAGCAGGACAATGATCTGAAGCACAACATATGCTCCACCTCTGAAGGCCTCAAAAGCAACAAAAGGTACGTTTTTAGGTAATCTTGTTGAGGTGTGGACTTTTTTTATCAGTTATACATACTGCGGTTTAAAGACCTTAAATAATCTGTCACTGTTTCAAAACCTGCATGTATGATGTACAGTATACAACATTTCAAACCAAATGTCTTCATCAAAATTCCTCCATAGCGATGCATTATATAAGACTATTTTAAAACTAGGTAGGTTTATATTAAAAAGAAAAGCTCAAAAGGCAGAAATAATTTGGATTAACACACGAGATTGAGTCTGCAGCAGAAAACAAAAGAAATAAGGCTTGCAGGATAATGAAACATTCTTTTATTTTCACAAACGATAAAGCACCATCTCACAACAGCTCTTAAAGGCGGAGACAGGAAGCAAGAGAGAGGCTCGCTGTCATCATTTCAGTGCTTCACAATGCAACATGTACAACAGGCGTCTGCCCCTGCATATGCTCCTCATTTTAAAAGACACAGCGGAATAAATACACATCTTATTTTACACGATGTTTAATATAAACAAGTACCTGTCATAGTACAAATTGCACTTGCCGACAGCTGTGAGGTATGAACACATTGTGAGCAATACAAGACAAATGCTTTTAAACATCAACCAGCTTATTATAGCGCACCTGAGCGGCCACCTTAAACATCATGATGTTGGATTATTTCAGAAACCCAGCACTGCTTCATCATCCTCATCACTACAGACATAAAAAACGGACTTTATATCCAACAACGGTAGAAAAAAAACAGCAAACTAATAATACTTTTAGGAGAATGTTACAAGTGAAGTCATGCCTTCTTTTTCATCACAGACCACAGTATTTCTCTTTTGAACAGAACCAGAGCCGTTCCAAGGCTGATTAAGGCTTAGTTTTATTAGAGGGGGCCACCTTTAGTTAACCTCATACTAACAGGACAATTACCACTCCTTTAACCCTGTAATGCCAAATGTATCATATCTGATACATACGGTTTCTGAAATGTTTTGCGTCTGACACCTTTTGAATAATTTAATGGTAAAAACTTTGCTCAAAATCCTATTGTACACAATCAGGTATACCTGATAACAGAGGGCAGAAGACTACACAAAAAATAATCTTGACTTATCGCATAGTGATAAATTATTAATATCAAAAATGTATTTTTGTTTTTTCTTTTGACATATTTTGTTAAAAGGCCAAATAAGGACTTCGAACCAAAAAAAAAGTAATTTTCTGTTTTTTTTTATTCTTGGATCGGGCTTTAAAGGGTTAATATCCATATGCTTAATCTTTTAGTTCTTTTAGTTTAGATGTAATAAAAAAAAATGTTTCAATAATAATGATTTCCAAATATTTGTTACCCTGCTTCTCCCTTTGGTTTACTAGATTATCCACAACCTCAACCGTTTCACCAGTTTAACATAGAAAGTCAACTGCAACAGATTAGATTGATTACATACTGTATAGCAAAAAAACAAACTGACCTACTGAAATTTGCTTTAAATCACACAATTACCTCTTTTGAAGTGGCTGGAAGAACTATTATTTTTCAAATCGATTAATCTGTTGATTATTTTTTTCGAATAAATCGGATAGCCACAGGTTCCTTAAAGAAGACTTTTTAACGCTTGAAACTACAACTTTTCCACTTGAGTGGTTCTGGATAGAGCATATGGACAGATGAAAAAGATTTCTCTTAAATGCAAAATATTCATATTTTTTTTGCAACTTTGGTATAATTACTGCTCTAAGTGGGTTGCTCTGTCAGCTAAAGGCATGTTTTACAGTCTTTATACTCCAGTTAATGATTAATCGATTACTGAATTAGTTTACCATTATTTCAATAACCGATTTATTCGATTTAACTTTTTGAGCCGTAGTCTCAGCTGTTTCTTTTGTAGCAGAATTTATCATTGCCATCAATATTATTTTTTCTGTTAAAATTCCTCCAAAGAAAAAACTTTGAAAAAACATCCGCTATTGCTCTGGAGGAGGGATTGCTGCAAAGTCAATGACTCAACGCTGTTCATTAGGTAAAAAAACTTTTCACTTATTGTTATTTAACTTTTTCTGATAGTATGGGTGTAAATCACCAGCTTCAGCATGATTGGATGTTATATGATTCGTTTGGATGAAAATATGTTAATCGATATCAGTCTTTCACAATACCCATATAATTCAATTAGCAAATATCTGATTGATATGTCAGTATACAAATCTAACAATCAGATTTTACATTTATTTTTAAGATGCATGATACATTTTAGTATGGTAATTATTTATCTGCTGTTAAAACTGTTTCAAATGGTGGATATTATAGTGAAATAAGGGAAGGGGAGATAAATGAAGCCTGATGAAAAACAACCATGAAAAAATAGCTAATATTACTTGATTTCTTTACAGTTTTACAACTGGACATAAAATATTTGCCCATCTCAGAAACAAGCAATAATTGTTACATTAACTAAAAAGTTGATCATTTTATAGATGGAATGTCTGGGGTACAGACGGCAGTTATTTAAGTAAATGTTAAAGCTGCACTGATCCTTTGACCGATCTCTGATTTTTCTTTAGATCCCAAACCTTTATCTGACTCCTTGTTAAACCAAAAACACACAGAGCAAACTGCAGGCTGTTGGGTGATTTGTTTATATATCCAAACTAGTGGGAGGCCTTTGTTTTTCAAAGATTTACTGAAAAGCAGTTTGAATTTTTTTTTCATATTTTGTATATGTATTACAGTTGGAACCAATCAAGCAAAAACCAGCTGGTTCTGATTTCTGGCTGATTGATCATTGCTTTAAAAAACAAAAAAAGAAACAGGTGGTCATTAAAACAAATAAATCCAAATTATATTTGTAGATGTTTCAGATTGGTTTAAATGAGTAAATGTTTTCCTTGTTGAGTAAATCTCTACAAAATGTAAGAAGTTGCTACGCAACTGCACACAGAATCTGCAAGGTTTTTGTGTTGTAGTCATTGTTTTCTTATCATTTCAACATAAGAAAAAACAAAACACTATTTTATAAATGTTCCTTGTCTTCTTGAAATACAAACTTACTGTCTCTGTATCAGAGTGTGACAGTTCTGGTTAAAATTAATTGAACAAGAAGAGCTAATTTTGAATGTCTTTATTGAATTAGATTAGAGTTTCTATTAAGTTTTTCTTTTGCATTCATGCAACTTAAGTATCAGAATTCAATTTCTCTTGGGGCAAGAAGACTAGCATGGGGCCCCAAATCACAAAACCAGGTTATACCAAGAGCCAGCCCTGTAAAGTGCAACACAGAGCCAACCAAAGTGTGAGCGAGTCCAAATAATTACATTTACCTATTGTATTAGAAAATGAAATAAACCTAAAAAATAAGATTTGTTTTAAAGAAACTTTAATCGTTATATCAAATATTTTGAACTCAATTTTCTGGATATTTTGCAAGTAATAAAATCTAAATAGAACTCTTGCTAATTCTCTATGATGATGCCTGGGGGGCCCCCATCTGGCCTGGAGCCCCAAACAGCAGCAGCTTAGTTTGCTTTTGCCTCAGGCCAGCTCTGATCACAAGCATCACCATGAGGGATTGCTTTAAAACCCATCAGAGCTTCATTATCAGCACTTCCACCATTATAATCCTGATAATCGGAGAAGAATATTTATTTATAATGGTGGAAGTGCTGATAATGAAGCTCTGATGGGTTTTAAAGCAATCCCTCATGGTGATGCTTGTGATCAGAGCTGGCCTGAGGCAGAAGCAAACTAAGCTGCTGCTGTTTGGGGCTCCAGGCCAGATNTATAAATCCGATTGTTTTTCTAACACTTTATGAGTAAAAAAACATATTTTCCTTGTATTTAATTACTTTAAAGGACATTCGCTTTCTTTCTCATACTTTAATTAGGTTATTTTGTAATAAAATGTGTTGTTCTATATGCGTTTCAAAACTTCTTTTTGTAGCTTTATGTATTGTTTTTTAAATAACTATCTTCGCATACCTGTCCAAGTCTTGATTTGGATGCGTTTTGTATTATTTTAACTTCCACATGTAGGTTTTTCTGTTTTTTCACCACAATTAGTTTTTTCTATATATAATCTCTTTTCCTTCACATCTGGGACTCAGAGTGAGCCAGCTTCCCGGTCCCCATCAGGCTGCTGTCGCTGTTATCCAACGCTGCGCAATCCGACCACATCTCCAGCGTGCCGGGCTCCAGCGCGGACACAAAGCCGCCGGAGCACCGCGACAGGTCGCAGGAGCTGATGTGCAGCCGGCGGTCCGCCTGCCGCGGGCAGCACAGCAGCCTTTTAAAAGCCTTCCTGAAATCTGGACTCCGGCAATAGATGATGGGGTTAAAGGCAGAGTTCACGTAGCCCAACCAGTTCAGGAACACGAACAGGTCCTTGTCCACCATCTCCGCGCAAAAGACGCGCACCACGTTGACGATGAAGAACGGCAGCCAGCACAGAGTGAAGGTCCCCATGATGATGCCCAGAGTCTTAAGCGCCTTTTGCTCCCTGAGCGCCAGGATCTTGGACGGCCTCTTCTTGCACTTGGAGGTCAGTCCTGTCAGGGTGTTGTGAAACCTCCCCTCACACTTGTCGATCTTCCTCAGCTGTAGTTTGGCCTCTCTGTACACCCGTGCGTAAACAAAAATCATAACCAGGAGAGGAATGTAGAAGGAAATGATGGATGAGGAGATGGCATAAGCCCTGTTGGTCACAAAGTCGCAGCAGTGGGGGTCATCATAGCAGTCTGTGTCCACATTGTCGCGGGACCAGTGCATGAGGATGGGGAGGAAGGAGACCAGCCCGGAAATGCCCCAAACTACGCACACCACCGCCCTGGCCCGGGCTTTAGTTAATAAGCTCTGGTAGCGGAAAGGTGAGGTAATGGCCACATACCTGTCTATGGCGATTACGCACAGAGTCTCTATACTCGCGGTGACGCAGAGCACGTCCACGGAGATCCAGAACTCACAGAAGAACGAGCCGTATATCCAAAAACCGCGCACCTCCAGCGCTGCGCCGAATGGCACCACCAGCAGTCCCATGATGAGGTCCGCGCTCGCCAGAGACACGATGAACACATTGGTGAGCGTCTGGAGCCTCTGCGTCCTCGCTATGGCCACGATCACCAGGATGTTCCCAAACACGATGGACAGGACGATCAGACTCATCAGCAGGCTCATCCCGGCCATCCAGTGCTCGGACGCGGCCGCAACAGAGCCGTGCGCATCGGACGCCTCCCCGGTGCCGTTTTGGAGGTTCAGCTGAGAAGACGCACCGCCGTCCCCCATGACGGGCTGATGCACTGTGAGCCCGCACGGTCCGAGTTCATCCAGGCAGCGCGGAGCAGCTGACCTCAAAAACCGGTCTCTGGTATCCCATCGCGCGTCAACTCCATCCGGAGCTGCAGCGCGGATCTGAGCCTGATGCTGCACCGGGCCGGATCCGCGAGGCAGGCGGTGACATCAGCACAGCGCACCGGCCAATCAGGGAGTCCGGAGAAGTCCCAGCAGAGGCACCTGAGCGTCAAAGTCTTTAAACCAACAGTTTATCTGAGGTGAATGCGCAAGAATAGCATTTTATGAGGAAAAATGTTTTTATTTTTCCCTTCAATGTGAGGACATCGTGCGGTCGAGACATGAGTCTCTTCAAAAAAGTCATGAAAGAAATTAACAGCAGCAGTTTTAAGGTTTGGTGCAAACATACATTTAAATATAGTCAAAAAGTTCATTTATTTTGAAAATGAACATAAAATATGGACACTTCTAAAATCATTAAAACCCAGCAGGATACAGTTTAACTGTTTATATGTTTAGTTTTAATTAGAAGCACTTAAAAACACACAAAAAAAAAACACATTAACAATAAAATGTATATAAACAATAATAACTGTACAATAGAAAATATTTTTGATACAGAAATATTGTGTTAAGGCCTGCATATTCATGGGGAAATCTACAAAGTAGACGCTTCTTGAATAGACAATCATTTACAGCCTTCACAAGGGAAATAAAGGCACAAAAGATGGCTGCAAAACCAATTGGAAAGTTTAGTGGAAGAAAAAAAAAGGTAAATTTTGATAATTTAAGCAAAATCCATTCCGGATTTTGAGGGCCGCAGAAATTCATGCATCTATTAAAAGCATAATAAGTTGCTTTAACACTATAATTTCATTTAAGCATGGTAGAAACAATACTGTTACATTTTTAATTTAATTTTTTTTTAATATTAACAGTTCCAAAATTTGGTGGAAGAGTGTAGAGGCACAAAATCCAAGTTGTTTTAAAGTTGATTGTAAAGTTTCCACAGTCAGAGGTAATTTAGTGCCATATAATCTGCTCATGTTGGTGCTCCATATTTGCTCATTTAAACCCCTAAATACCTTCATTTCTGAAATTATGGAGATGCTGTTTCCATGTTGCTTCTATTTGAGTCGGTGCAAGAGAAAGATCAGAAACAATGATGCAAGACGAGCTGAAGGCCGATTTTAAAGCATCCTGGATTTCCTGACATCTCAGCAGAACCAAACGCTGACCACCTCCATATCAGGCTGCATTGCGGCAATTCAACTAAATATGTTTCAGCATATTATGCTCATTATACATTGCTTTTTATGGGGTTGATATTTGTTAGTGATCCTAACCCTAATCCTTTAATGAGCTGCAAGTCCTAATAATTTAAATGTAAAGAACAGCTTTGCAGTTTCTTAGACACACCTGCATATTAGAATGTTTTAAAATTAATGTTTATTATTTATCATTTAGGCAATCTGACACATCTTCAAACATGCTTGTGTTGAAGTTCTATAGATCTATGGGAAACTATTTCTAGTTTCTTACCTTTAATACATCTTTTGAGCTTATAACACCAATATGTTTTATTTAATGTCCTTTAAGTGCTGTGATATGACATAATGTCCCAATGCCTTTTTATGAATGAAAATGAATATTTTATAAAACATGAGGGGCTGTTTATACTGATCCAGCCCCCTACCTGACTGCTATGTGACTGTAAGTTTAAAAAAAATCCCTTAGACTGTGGGAACGTGCTGTGCCCAGGACATTATGAACCACAGAGTTTCATCACTTCCATCACAAATAAGATTTGCTTTCCCACAGGTCCAATTTATAATTTATTTATTTATTTTTTTATCTCCAAGAATACATTCCCTGCCCATGAGATCCGTCTCATATTTACAGACCTGCACTTTGCTTCACGGCAGCTGTGTTACATGAAACTTATCTCAACTGGGACATTAAACAGGCAGAGCCTGGCTGCTTGCCAGAGTTTTCATTTCATGCATCAGAGTGAATATTGCTCGTCACTAAATACCACTGTGTCATCAGTGTGAATGAAGAATTTAGTGAGGCTGCAGGGCTTCAGGTGGGACCTGGGATGAATGGCTGATGCGTCCAACTGTCACAGAGAAACAGCGAGAAGCAAGAAGCTCTGCTGAGTGCAGATTGAAACAATGCCCGAAAACATTAATGTAATCATGGGGGGAAATGCGCACCCTGATTTCCACAGCAAAAAATATAATAAGCATGGAAATACTCAGCCTTTGTAAAACAGCATTATTCTGTTGTTGGTTTTTTTTATGTGAAAAGAACTTGCTGCTTTTTATGAAGCTTTTTTTTTCTGGGTTCTACATCTCAATTATAAAGTGGTTACTGTCAGATTCAATTGGTTATATTTTTTATCAAGATATACAAAAAAACTTACTTTATAAGCTCTGAAAGAGCTGCATCGCCTTTCAAAAGCAGACCCATCCCCTCCCAGTTTTCCACAACAGCTACTATACAAACATTAATATGAAAAGTATTTAATTGGCATTTTATATAGGACAACAGAAAGAAGGTTCATATAAATTAACAATGAAAGAAAAACAATTTAACANGATGAGTTTTAGTGCTATTAGCCATGTATTAAACAAAGTAAACATGCTGGAGCAGAGGCTCTGATAAGTCGAATAAACCAATTTAATTTAAAGAGTAATTTAAAAAGAACAGCAGGCACTGACCAAAGCGCTAAACAAAAGGAATTGTGTCATGACTCTGCACTTTTTCGTTCTGTTTAAGTTTTTTTTAATTTTCAGTTATACTTTGATTCATGTCTTTCTGTGTTTTCTAGTTTATTGCTTTCATTTCCATCTTGTGTTATTCTAATTATTTTTTATTGTATTTGAGTTCTTATGTAGTTCTTGTTTCTTGTTGCCCTCTTGTGTCAGTCTTTTTTTCCCTAGCTCCCTTCTAGACTCCTCTCTCCACACCTGCTTCCAATCTGCTGATTAGCCTGGTCTTTGTTCAGCCTCCCATTTATACACCTCATGTTCAGTCACTGTTTGCTGGTTCCTTGGTGTTGTTAGTTGCTTCCTCGTCTCTGGCTCCCCACGTGAGTTTTCCCTGATGTTTTCTGGTTCTTTGTATTTTTGGATGTCTGCCTCGGGTTTTCATTAAACCAACAAGAACTCATCTCTGCTTCACTCACCTCTGCATTTGAGTCCTCAAGCAACCCTCCACCCCCCAGCTGAAATGGAGGGAACAAATGGATGATTAAAATAGAGCAAATAAGATAAAAACTGAAAGCAGAAATAAATATTTAAGGTACAAGTAAAAACATGAAATACACCAACCATCCATTTTCCATCACACTTATCCCAAGTGGGGTCGCAAGGGGTGCTGGTGCCTATCTCCAGCAACACCCTGGACAGGTCGCCAGTCCATCGCAGGGCAACACAGAGACACACAGGACAAACAACCATTCACGCACACAATCACACTTAAGGAGAATTTAGAGAAGCCAATTAACCCAAAAGTCATGTTTTTAGACTGTGGGAGAAAGCCGGAGTACCCAGAGAGAACCCACGCATGCTCAGGGAGAACATGCAAACTCCATGCAGAAAGACCCCGGACTGGGAATTGAACCTGGAACCTTCTTGTTGCAAAGCAGCAGTGATATCCACTGTACGACTGAGCAGTCCTCAATAAGAAAAAAATCATTAAGAAAAAAAAAATCCTGAAGCCAAAGAGAAAAGGTGGGTCTTAAGGGCAGATAAAAAAAAAATATATTTCTTCATTTGCAGCTGCAAAGCTTTCAATAATTTAAAAGATTCAGGGAAAAAAAAGTGATGACCTGGGTCAGCTGATCTGAGGGACACAAGGTCAATAAAGGTCGAGCAGCTCAGAGCGTTAACGTGAAGTAAGACCATTAAAAACTAATTTTATAAAGAACTCTAAAACGGACAGATAACCAGGCAGTTACAGTAAAAAGCCGTGCAGCAGCAATTTGCACTAAAGGCGGATGACTTAAAAGAGCTTTTACCATTTCAAAAGATGCTATTTTTTTAGCCAGATGCCTCAGGTGAAAGAAACTGGATTTCACGACCTTGATTTACCCATAAACTTTAAAATCACCATCATTTTCCACACCAATATTCTCCATAATAATTTCTACACTCAGCCAAAAAATCCCAAGTCTAAACTAAAAAAACAGCACCTCAGTCTTATTTTGATTCAATTTAAAAAAGGTAAAAAACATCCATGCTTTTAATTCCTCAAGACATCTATTAAACTGCATTTATTGTCTTTTAGGGGCACCTAAACCGGAGTATCAGGAGCACAACAATGAAAGACAAGGCTATACTTTCTAAAAATGGAACCAATTGGCAAGAGATGCAGAGAAAATAGCAGAGGTCTAAAATAAATAAACTTCTTGACCAAAGTGCAAAGCTGCACATTGGGAGAAAGATTAAACCTAACCACAGTAGTTTATTGGTAAAGGGGATGTTATTCCACAGGGCCATTAAAGCATGGGGGTTTAATCCATTCATTCAAGAGGGGGACTTTTGGAAACGTCTAAACAGTCCTTTTTGAATTGCTAAGATTAACATAAGGCACACTAATAGTGTAAGAAACTCTACAGTGACCAACAGGAACTTTTATTCTTCTTGCTTGGTTATATATTTTTTTTTTTATAAATTTTTGTTTTTCACAACTATAAAGGAATCTGGCAAAGAAACTGAGGTAAATCAAGTGATTTATCCGTAAATGGTGCAAAACTACTCAGCCACTAAAAAACTGCTTTGCCTCTTAGATCAATACTAGGATGTAGAGTCAGAGTGATTTAATTCACCAACAGACTGCAGGATTGTAAACTCCTCTATTGAATCCATTCGACATGGATTAGATTAGCCTCTCTCGCTTCTATTTCTTTGTGTCTTTGTGTGTGAAAATATCCGTGGAAAACTTGTATTGTGTGCACTTCTTTCTTGCTTTCTTTGCATTTTTCTCACAGTAGTGGAAAATAAATATCTACAGAAAAAAAAGCTACATCTTTTCTGTAGATATTTATTTCCTTGTTGGAACTGGATGCCCCTTGCACATAAATAT